GTGACTTACATCCGTCTCGTCGACCACTCTCTCCATTGGGATGTCTTTCCATCGCTGGTCACCACTTCTGGGCACCACTGAGTAGTGAGTGGTTATCTTCGGATGCGATGCCAGACACCGACGGCTTTGCACATCATTCTTCCGCAGGCGATGGCAGCGGCAGACAATTGGCCGCCATTTGGACACGGATTGCGTATATTTATACATTAGTTATCATAACACGTGGCGATCACTAAATGAGACCAATTGGCGGACAATTAGTTTAATTTAATTTAATTAATAATAGTTTTAAAAAAGTATTTTTGAATCAAAAACACACCACAAGTCTTGTGAATGGGATGTGATCTTTGGATGCGCTGCGGACTCGATGTCAAAGTGCACTCACATGTACTCTGAAGAGTACCAGTAGTGTAGATATGATCTGATAATGGGATCAGTTATCAAATAATGTGTTTATTTTAATTGCAATTATAATCACAACTAAAACTTTGCACTCAATTTCAGTGGTAAACAAATCACGTGACGTCACTCTCACCCGGACTCTAGCTTTGAGTACATTTCCCATACGTTTAACATTAGACACTAGTTTTCTGTGTTAATCCTATGGCAGGGAAAGAGTTTTGTGTGCATTAATTGTCTGTTTAATTGCGGATCAATTGACAGATAATTGTTTTCAATAGATATTTGTAAGACTTGTCGTGTATTTCTGTAATTAAAAATAGTTTTGAAAAACTTTTTGAAACTATTTTTTGCCCTCAAAATCAATGATAAGCGCCGATAGAGCGCGCGCTTAGCGTTAAACCCAATGGCATTCGCGTTCGGACCATAAATAACGTCTCGAAATACAGCAAAATATTTATCAAACACTGCATTGAAATACATGTGAAACGAGTGGCCAAACTCTGCGCCCCTTTTGGCATATAATTTATGGCCAAAACATAACACAAAAACATTTTTGCCATAAAAATAAACACAAATTGTTTTCTGCAGTGAAAACAACTCTCAATACAAATATTTTTCACATCAAAAAAATGGCGACTCTTTTGGTCTGAAAAAACTGTTTGTTTGACTCTTTTGAACACATCTTGGGATCAGATTCGCAGTGATATATCCGTTCAGACCATTACAACCCCACACACTCTCACCACCCGATGGTTATACGGCTCGGGATGTGTTGACAATCGTTTTGGCCGATTGGATAGAGACTAAGACAATGGGTTTGTATATACAGCTGATTCTAGCCATAACTGACCACTAATGACATCCCTGTCCACCACTGCCACCGACGATGACGACGACACCGCAGTTTCCATTATCTGTCAGTGTTTAGGCCACTGTCCGGAGAACGAGCCGAACGGCACGTGTCTGTTGAAGAAGAATGGCATGTGTTTCGCCGCTATGGAGCAGGTCTTCAATCGCGAGACCCGACGGCTCGAGATGGAGAAGACGTACGGCTGTCTACCGCCAGATGACG